AGCGGTTCTCAACCTGTGGGTCATGATCCCTTTGGCGGCCGAACGACCCTTCCACAGGGGTCGCCTAAGACCATCCTGCATATCAGATATTTACATTACGATTCACAACAGTAGCAACATTGCAGTTATGAAGTAGCAACAAAAATAATTTTATGGTTGGGGTCACAACATGAGGAACTGTATTTAACCCCTAGAGTGCCGGGGAACACGATCGCGCTCCTCCTGTCTTTCGCCAAAAGTGCCAGGAGCGCTATCAAAGCTTTGAAATGGCATCCAGTTCTAAGTCTGCTTTTATTAGTGATGATGATCTTGCTAAATATGTCAATGTAGTAAAGGCTTCCTTAAGTTTTTGAATATGCAACTTCATTGACTTGCGATTCATAATTTCTTTCCTAAACTGCTGTAAAATCAGCAAAAATGCCTTGGCAATTTTAGCATCGTTCCTAGGATATTGGTTGGCACTCAAAGGGTTAAAGGGCCAGAAGGTTGAGAACCACTGCACTAAGCAGCCTGCTGTCTTGTCAAGTTCTGCACCAAGTTGGCTAGTTGGCTCACACTGGAGAGAAGTTTTTACTGGAAATGTCAGGAAAGAAAAACAAGGAACTAGCATTACTGAGTAGCTTCTATGTGCCAGCTACTGTTCTGGGCAATTGCACGTCTCCTCACATTGTTTACTATCCAGGCGTAAACATTCCCCTTTTCAGATGAGGAGGAAACGGAGAAGTTAAATGACTTGCCTAAGGTCACACAGCCCGAGAGCCATGGAAGCAGGATTAGAGACTTTCCAATCCGTGGGGATCGTGCCCGCCCCCCTCACCTAACTATTTCTGTTCCCTTTGTTCTTGCTATGATTTGACATCAATGGAACACCAGGCCTGCTGTTTAGCCGGCCGAGAACCTGGCAGTGGACACGGCCGCGGCCAAGAGCACTTAATGGCTAAAAAAGGAAATAACTTTCTATATGTGAATTCTGGCCAAATGGTGGCAGATGCTGAAGTCTGGGAATCCTGACCACTGTGGGCTGAGGGCCCTGATGTAATCATTAATTCTGGGAGCAGCATAGGCAAGAGGTGGCCAGCCACAAAGCCTGAGGCTGGAAGGAAAAACCCTGCCCTCTTATGGGAAGTGGGAATAGCCCTGCCTGGGGAGTAAGAGACTGGGCTCTGGTCACAAGCTTGTCACCAGCTGTCAGTCCTGGAAGCTCTTTGATCTTCTTTCCCTTTTACAGACAGAGAAAATGTAGGCTTTGGTACCAGGCTCCAGTACCTTAGGCGGTATCTGGTGGTTGTGTGACTTTGTACAAGCGACTTAACCTCTGAGCCTCAGTTTTTCCATCTGTGAAATGGGATAATACTTCTTTACTAGCAGGGCTACTGAAAGGGTTAGAAAGTAGAATTGTACAGTGCTTCACATGTGGAAAGCACTTAACTTAGTGGTATCTGTCATTACTTAACTACCCTCGACCCTTGCCTTCATTGTATAAAAATAAGGGGTTGAGTTTTTATTGATCAATAGATTTCAGCTCTACTGCACTGTGAATCTATGACAAGATGGTGGGAATAATAAGGAAATGTAAGCATTTCATAAATATAATTTCCATTAGTAATTGTATAGTTTTTAATCCACCCCTCTGGGGACAATTAATAAAAACCTCTCAGTATTTAACTGTAATTGAATAGCTTTATTTGCCACCCCCTCCCACCCACTTCTTATATTTTTTCTTCCAACATTTGAAGAAGAAAAAATACTTAACTTAGCATAATCCTCTTTCTCCACTTTGCCTGCTCCTTTCCACCTCCTTGGCCTGGAAACAACTGTCTGCTACAGGGTGTCTCTGAGCAGGCCCCTCTGTTCTTGCCGGAATTAAATCATTAGATTGAAAGAGGAGTTAATTATCTGCCATTGGCTAGAGAAGGAGGCAAACTGAAGTGATACTTGGTCTCAGCCATCTGTCTCCCCCTTTCTCTCATCTCCATCTCCCTCTCCCCTCCACGGTGCTCAGGGATCAGAGGCACAGGTCCCGATAGATTTCCCCGCACCACTTCCAAATCAACTGCCTATTCCCACTGTGACCTCACAAACATCCCTGAGGCAGTACATCCTCCGGGGTAAAGTGGCTGGCCTTTGGTAAGGATTTTCAAGAAAGGAGCTTCAGGGGAGTTAGATCGACTAGCACAGTTGCTAAGCAGGAGTGTTGTTGCTAGACAAGAGCTGGGTTTGAAGCCAACTCCCTGCTTAATAGCAGTGGGATCTTGCTCAAGTCACCCTCTTGAGCCCTCTAAAAAGGGGATGGGTAGTCCTCATTTCCTCATGCTTTTGAGAGAATCCAATGAGGAAAACATATATAAAGAAACTTGCAAGTGCCTAGTACGTAGAAAGGTCCCAATGAGTGTTAGCTTATTTTATTATTACTATTATTTCCTAGATTCAAATTCTCTTTTTGGGTAGCTCTGGGTACACTAGGCAATGGAGCTGAGACTCTCCAAGAATAATGAAGATCCCTGAGGTAGCTGAGGACCAAGACCACCTTCTCATGTAATTCTCCCTGTACCTTCATTTCAGGGAGAAACTACTAGAATGAGGGGAAATCAGGAGAAGTACACTGATGACTAAAGTACAGAAGAGTTCTGAGATGACAGTTCTATTTGGCACTTCATCAAGCCACCTTTTATGTCTGACATAGCCCAGCAGCTCCATAAACACTTTCTGAACTAAACGGCTCTGACATGATGCTGTGTCTAAGGCACCATGAAGTGAGGTTCTCTGAGTCTATTTTACAACAGACTGTCTTGCAGGAGATCAGGGTTGAGTTGGAGAGAGAATACTCAGCCCGTAGAGCAAATCATTCACTTTGTAAAACTGAACTGAATTATTCTTTTCGTTAATCCCCCAGCACCCCACCCAGTGCTGGTCACATCGAAGGAGCGTCATAAATGTTGGCTTGATGGCGTAAAAGCTGACTCCCAGGCCTTCCCTACCACTAAGTGGCAGAGCCCTGTCCCAAACCACTCACTGCCCAGGGTGAGGAGGAGTTTTTGAAGCTCCAAGTGGGAGACCTAAGAGCTGATGGGCTCTGTGCTTGGCGGGAAGATGGAGGGAAACTTTCTGGTCACACCGACGGGATCAAAAACTCTGGATTGAAGTCCTGGCGATGTCCCCATTAGTCTTTGTTTCTTTGAATAAGTCTTATCTTCTCTACATGTCTCCTCCTTTGCAAAACAGAGGTAATAACCATCACCCGCCCTCCCCCAAAGTGGCTCTGAGGAGTCCTCATTCAATAATAGAAGTTGAGCCCGGCCGACAAGGCTCAGAGGTTGAACATTGACCTATGAACCAGGAGGAAATGGTTTAATTCCCTGCCAGGGCACATGAGCACATGCCCAGGTTGTGGGCTCGATCCCCAGTGTGAGGTGTGCAGGAGGCAGCTGATCAATGATTCTCTCTCATCATTGATGTTTCTATCCCTCTCGCCCTCTCCCTTCCTCTCTGAAATCAATAAAACATTGAAAGAAATATTTATTATGTACCTAATGATAGAATCTAATGCAATAAGTATACAAAGTAGAAGACAGGGCTTTGGACTTTGAGAAGTCTACTACTAATTTGAGGGGGAAAGCTTTTACATCGTTGAGGGCAGAAACCATGCCTGGTTTTACTAATTCTATAGCTATCATTGAGTACCTAATATGTGGCAGACCTGATACTTTGCAGACCTGATACTTTGAACCGTGATGGACACCTAGGGACTCCAGAAAGTACTTTCAGATTGGCTGATAGCAAGAAACTTTTGGAGAACAAGTGTAAGGCAGCATATAACTAAGCCTGAGAATGTATCCTACTTGCTGGGTGGTAACTGAGTCTTCAGAGTTCAGGAGACATCAGAGAGGGCTGAGGTCAATTTGAGAAGTCTTCTCCATGTCTACTTAGACTTGTGGGATCCGAGGAAGAGGTCCTGACTGAGTGTATGTTAGTCTGGATTGCTCTAAATTGATTTTCTTTGGAAACATTGGCTGCACAGGGAGGCAACAGGAGGAGCACTGAACTGGAAATGTGGACAACTTAGATTCCTGAATTCCCTCTCTAGCCACATAATACATGAAGTAAGGTTATAAAATGATTCATGTTCACTATACATCAAAGCCTTTTCCACCTTATCCAAGTATCATGTCTTGTTACCAAACAAGTCCTCTGTTGATTCCTCCAAAATGTTTGCTTTGTCCCAGGCTATGACACATCGAAAGAGGATGTTGAAGGTTTTGGAGTGAAGAACCTTCAGCGTTGGGATGCTCTTGTCCAGTTTCTAGGGACCACCTCCTTTTGCCTGGGTCGCTTCAGAACTAGTACCAGCTGCAAAGGGCTGTAGAAATCGATTTCCCAGAGCTCTTTGCAGGGCCCTGCTCTGAGGAGGCCCTCCTCAACCCCCCAAACTAGAGTTAGCCTCCCGCCATATATTCCTATACTGCCCTGTACTTCCTTCATGTTAACACATCACATTTTATTGCAGTTAATGGCTTAATTTCTCCACTTAATGAAGAGAAATAAGGGCAGTCAAACTCAGAAAAGGCAGGAAGTCCTTGTTTGTCTTTTGTTGCTGTTGCTTGTTTGTTTATTTATTTATTCAAATGTATCTTTATTGTTAAAAGTGTTGCACATGTCCCCCTTTTTCCTCATTGACCCCCTCCAACCCCACCCCCCAGGCCTTCCCAAGTTTCTTTGGCTAACGTTGTGGGAGACCCAAAGGGACTTAGTGTCGTTGGAAAACTGACTTCAGTAGAGACCTTTCATGTTATAAACCGAGCAGCTGGTACGTGGTAAGAATTTTCAGTTTTCCTGACCTTGCCTGGATCATTCAGGAAGCCACAAGTGAGAGGTCTTCACCCTATTCGCTGCCATCAAGGCCCAGTGGCTGGCCCCACGCCACCCGCCTTGGCTAGTTTCTCTTGTTTTTTCCTGAGGAGCCACCATTTCCAATACCATCTTCCTGATATTGCACGATGTTCCCTTCTGCACCCGCGCTTCACTTCTTCCGGGCGACCCACCAATGAGGGAGTCAGCAACGAAGACTCTTGACAGACCAAACCAAAGCACCTCATTCTTTGCCTGGAACTATTTTATACTTCCGTGGGGACTTGCAAGGAACAAGTGACAGAGTCAGACGGATCAGAGGAAAAGTCTTCAGGGCCTGAGGAGAGTTTGTAAAACTTGCCCCAAATCCTAGAAGTGTATGACATTTGTTTATCTCTTCCTTTTCATTCACTTTTTATTTGCATCTGTTTTCCTCCCACTTTCTCCCCTTCTGCTTCTCCATCTGTTTCTCTCTTCTTTGTAATCTTTCTACGTGCTCTTTCTCTTTCCTTCTCCAATTGTTCTTCCCCACCACTGTCCTTGCTCGTAATGGCTGCCTTTTATTCAGTTCTTATATACTGAGCACTATTCTAAGTGCCTTGTATCCACCATCTCATAATACTCTGCGAGCTAAATAATATTATACCCACTTTGCAGGTGATAGAATTGAGACACAAATCCAATAACTTCTCCAAGCTCAGCAGATAATAGAGATTTGAGCTCCAGTTAGCTAACCCCCAAGCCATCTTCTCTTACCCGATACATGGTCTATTTTTCTCCATTTCCATCTCCCCCTTGTCTTTTACCTCTTTTTGTTCCTTCTCATGCTCTTCATCATCCCTACTTCTCTCCCTCCCCTTCTCTTACTCACCACATCCCGGTCCCCACACTTGTGTGCCTGACCCTGAAGGTGCTGAACACTGCACGTGCCCAGAAGAGATGACAGACCATTTAAACTCTTATCTAATCAGGCATTTTCCTTTTGAGCAAACGCTTCACATTTTCCCACATTGTCTGATCAAAACCAGAGGAAAGGCCTCCAGACCTGGCTGGGTCTTTGATATGGAGGGAAGAGAGATAAGGCCCTTTCCGCTCACTCATGGATTCCCTCATTCCCAGAGACGCTGTGTACTCTAGGGTTGGGGAACGTGAAGGGAGGGAAGAGGTATTGGTAGAACTCTGTCAAGGAATCAGCTCAGGAGCCAAAGAAGCCTGGGCCATGAAATGTGGCACTTCCACCCCCCCCCCCCGCCCCCTTCCTCATATGTATAAAGAATGTTCAGGTCGGAACCAGGGCATACTGGCAGCAAAAATGTGACTGTCAAGGTTTGAGCTTGACAATCTTTAATGCCCCATCAGAGCCTGAGGTTTTGTGATTCTAAGAATATTCCGCCCTCCCTTCCCCTGTCCTCCCCTCACATTCTTTTCTTTTTGTCATTCTGTTGATTAGAATTGGTTAGAAGCTTGCCCTGGCTGGTGTGGCTCAGTTGGTTGAACATCATCCCATGCACCAAAAGGCCACTGGTTTGATTCCTGGTCAGGGCACATACCCAGGTTGTGGGTTCAATTCCTGACCAGAGTACATGTGGGAGTCAACTGGTCCATGTTTCTCTCTCACATCAACATCTCTCTCTCTCCACTTATTGTTCATCAATAAGAATTCTAGAGGTAGGAGATTCAAGAGTTTCCGAGGCCTTGGGGCACTATCTGCTATTTCTGAGAGTCTCTGGGCAACTTCAGACATCTTGGCTCACACAACTCTGTCCACGGGCAGGAAGGGGTGGGGGTAGGGAGGACTTCAACAGAGGCTCCCTATATTTACTGAGAGTTGGAAAGACATTTCCTAGAGCACTCCCTCCACATTAGTCTCTCCCCATACCTCAGTGACCTGACCTAGCTTCAGTGGAGACTGAAAAAATGACATCTGCCCTTTCACCCTACTAATGGGACCCAGGAAAGGAATAGGGACTTAGATTGCCACTGGGTAGGAAACACCAGTGCTTGACACCCCTTTCTTAATTCACTCAACCAAGATACACTAAGCACCCACTCTAGGCCAGGCTCTGGGTCAGGTGATGATGATACAGAGGAAAAGACGGTTCCTGGCCTCCATGAGCCCTGACTGGAAGAACACAGATAGGCAAAGGATTACAAAACAAGATGGCAAGTATAGGAGAGGAATGAGCGTTCCCAGGGCCACCACAGGAGCCGAAGAGGCTCAGCCTGAGAGAGCAGAGAGGGCTGGAAGAAGCCATGCCTGGGTCAATTTTGAAGGGTAGATGGGATTCAGCTGGGCTTGAGGGGGCCTGTAGGAGGTGGTTTGGAGGAGGACATCTGGAAATCTTCCAGACTTGGCATGTTTGGATAAAGGGAACTAAAGGGGACAGGCAGGAAATGAGGTTGAGGAACAGGCAGGGGCCTAATGAGGGAAGGTTTTGTATGGGACATAAGGGATTGAGGCATTTAGTCTGGATGTGAGAGCGAGCAGGTCTGTGGTGGGAACCTCCTGTATGCATGCAGAAGGCCAAGCCATGCTGTACAGCTGCAATGGCGCTGAGGTGCAGGAGGTCCACATTGCCCACTGCTTGCAGCTAGGGGGACCTGAGCACTCATCTGTGATACCTACCTGGTGTGACCAAAGACTTTTTACTTGCTAGCGCCCAATACACCTGGTCCATACTGGGTGGTTCTGATGATTAGAGAATGCTTCCTGAGGGGCCACATTTGGCACTCACTCTTTCTTCCTCCACCTAGTTCTGTCCTCTGGAGACATAAAATTTTTGTTTTCCACCTAACAGCCGTTCAAGCACATGGGACATTTGTGGTATTTCAACATACCACATTGTTGGGTACACAGGTCCTCATCCTGCCTGACTATGCCAACTGTTGGGTCCAAGCCCCTCTGCCAGGTACTGGACCTCCTTAGATGCCGGGTGGTAGGTGGAGAAGGTATAAGAAGTCGTGGATATATAAGAGTCTTTATTACAGGCCAAATTGCTAACAAGGAGCCCTTAGACAAAACAGTTCTTCAAAGTAGAGTCCCATAAAGGCAGGCAGCTGCACACCGACTGGTTAATAAATACATCTTTCCCATAAAGTGGCTTCCCACATAGGAGCTATACAGGAGCTATTATTAGAGCTACAGCCTCCGACATAGGGGCCCATCTAGGAGCCTCACATAGTAGCAGCCGCATACTGATGGCTGGTCAGTGGCAACTTATATACAAGCTCAAACAAGCTTAAACAAAAGAGGCTTCATGCCAAATAGTGACCTCAGTAGTATTTGGGCTACAGAAGGGTATGCTTGCACAGTGCATAGATTGCTGCATCCTTGCTTTTGCAGCTGTATATAGCAATTTTGCCTTGAACATTCTGGTTAAGATTCCCACGCTCAGAGTGGCCTTGAACATCCAGCATACTCTGAAAAGGGCCCCTACACTCCAGTTGGCCTTGAGCATCCGGGGTACTCTGACAGGGTTCCCACACACATACCCTTTCATTTAATCCTCAAAACCCCCTGGTGTGGCTTTTCCCATCCCCATTTCACAGACAAGGAACAGACTCAGTGAGTTTGTGCCAAGTCACATTTGCAGATTTGCAAGACTCCAGGTCTGATTCTTGGCCAGGCTGCCTCAGAAACACCCAGTCTGCTATTGCAAATCCAGATTGGGGGAGGCGGGGGAAGGG